TGCTGATTTTGAGTGGGGCCTGTCATTATCTTACTCTGTCATTAGAGGCTACATTGGCCTGTGTATGTCAGTCTATTTGGACAGCAACTCTTTTGCTAGCAGTGTTCCCTACATTTATTAAAATCCCCGAAGGTAGTGTTGTGTTCCATTTCTGGTAGAAGAGCCTTGAACCCTTTTCTCACAAACAAATAATGCGATATAGCCATTAACTTAACATTTTCACAGAATGGTCACTTATACCATTTCAGTGAAGGCTGACCAAATTAGCATTGGAACAAGAAAATATGGAAACAGAAAACCTAATGATGATGCTTTTTTATATGTACATGTATTAAAATGGGGATTAATCATGCTTTCTGGGTTTTATTTTTGTTCCCCTACAGTAAGTTTCCTAAAAGCTTTGGCAATTTTTTTCTGGAGTATAAATGTATTCTTGAATTCTAAACATTAGTCTGCAATAATAAATAGTATAGACTAAAGCTAAATTTTGCAAGGGAAAGTTTTATCCATTAAAGAATTTCCTGACATACTTCTCTGTACTGAGAGTTTGATATTTACTTTGGGCCAAATTCATCTCTGGTATAAGTGGGAACAACGTTGAGGTGCCATAACTCTGACTTGCATGTAAAGCATTTTAGGTAGCTATTTACATTATATTTAGTCAACATGAACTTTTGCCACATTATACCATTCAATTGTGATCTTGTACTGAGTTTTTTTTGACTTGCTTTACTGCATTCCACCTTACAGTTGTGCACTTTCTAGTGCTGGGTATTTGTTCTGTCTGATTTGCACAGAATGATCTACATCCTACAAAATATATTTTTGTCCTTAATCCTTGACTGCTTTGAATTGATATGGCTTCACTGACTTCGGTGGAACTATGTCCGTTTACAGCAGCTGACAGAATCTGCCCTCTTCTTTCTTTAAAGTAAATCTGGTTTAAAGTTATTTTTACTTTTTTGTAATTGCCCTCACCGATAACATTTACTCCTTAGATTAATAAAAATTTTTACATGTATACAGGTAGTTTTCCACAGTGGATGGTCTAAACATTTTTACACCAGCATTTCTTGGCTTTCTCCTCTCTTCTTTTCAAATAACATTTGGGTAAATAAGAGAGGGTTTGAAATTTTTTGAAAAATTCACTCTGAGGGTTTTTTTCTGTTGAACTTCATAAAACAAAATAAATCTTTCAAGTATCCAAGAATATGGCAATAGTGGCAACAGCTTTCATGAGTCTGTGTGTGTGTGTGTGTTTGTCACTGAAAATACACATTGCTTGGTAATTGTTCATTTCCAATATGTCTCAGGGAAAATATTGGTTTGTAGTGTTTATAATTGACCTATTAGTTTATTTTTAATGAGAAAAACTGGGACATTTCACAGATGGAAACAATTATTATGAACACATAGCAGTACAGTTGCAGTAGACATTCTACAATAATTTGTTTTTAGATATGTACGGGATCTATAAAATGATTAAATATTAATCTTCCAGCTACAAGATGTAAATACTTCACAGTGAGTGCAAATTGTCTGGAAATAAAAAAATTAAATGTATTTTTACACAAGTGGGCTTGTGAAATTTCATATATGAAATATAAAGGCATTTTATTGACTTAAACCACGTTGCCTTTAGATTTTCAAAAGAATTATAGAAACAAGAACATTGTTCTTCACCAATATACTACAGCCCTCAACCATCCATGATCATGTATCATGTCCTACATCTTGGTTCTAGTGCTGATTTTTATGAAACAAGCATAACTTACTTTCTGTCATTGTAATTTATTAATGTCAAAAATATGTAATTGTGATAAGTGGATTATAGTAAAATCTTAATTGTATTTAAGAAACTGTTTTGATAGTATTAGATGAGTCCTGCTCCATTAATTTAGGTGCCAATCCTCCAACCACTCAGTGCATGTAGTTCTTATTAAAGTCATGCAGAGCTTTGAGGATCAACCCTCCCCGTGTTCTATCAAAATTATGCTCGTTTTTCTGACATGAGAATGGTCAGATTTTTTACAGTTTGGTATCCAATAGATTGAAAATTGTTCTACTAAAAATGATCTGGTGTGACCATAGGTAGACCTGCTAGAACAAAAACTGTCCTATGTGCATTACAACATAATGAAAAGCTACCATGTTGTTCTTAATGGGCAAAAAGAATAAGGCCATATAGACGGCAGCTCTTTTCCACAATACAGGAGGTATCCTGGAAAAGCTATGCCGCATCCAAGGAACGCATCTGCTTTTCCAAAAAAAATTTGGAAAAGCGGACATGTTCTTTCGCCATCCCTGTAAATCTTGTTTTACAAGGAAGACGAGATAGCTCAAAAGAGAAGGTTGTTCCGAAATTTGGCACCATGTAGATGCACCAAATTTTGGAAAAGCCTCTTTCAAAAGAAAACGTACGTATCTTTTCCCAACTTTTCTTTGTAGTGTAGACCTAGCCTAACTAAGAGCTTGAATCCACATTCATTGGAGCCAGTGAGAGCAGGGTGGGGCCTTAATATTGAAATTCAACTTTCATTTTAACCCTGTTATCACTCAATCATAGTATATTTAAAAGAATGTTTCAAGACTCAACTTGAGTATGATTTTTTTTTTGGGCAGGAAAGTGTGAGAGAAATATCATTAGCCATTTTTTGAGTTTGGGAGTGAAGAAAGACTACTTAGCTATATACAAAAAGAATTACAAGTCTTCTTTCACAAATTACTCACAAGTATCAGAACTTAAGTGCTTAAAGTATGTTAGCCTCTGACGAGTTTGAGAAATGTATTTTATAACACCAAAGTGATATGCAATTAAAATTGTCCTTTCCACCTGCCCAGGAAAATTTTGAATAGTCTTTTAGTTACATTATTGCCTAGAGTACTGGGGATCTGCAAAACGCTTTTTAATGCTACACTACAAAACTTCATAGTGAAAGAGCAGGGTGTTTGTAGAGAAATCTATGGAGTGCTGTAGTTCAAAACCCTTGTTTCTGCTGAAAAATAGTTGCATAATTGCATAGTCACAAAGATAGGGGGTTTGTGTATCTAACTGGATGCTGCATTTCTGTTGTATGCAACTTCACAGTGCCATAGCTACATTTTTCTTTGAAATGAAACCATGGAAATTAAATACAAAAAACTATACTAATGTAATGTTAGAGTTTGAAACTGGAATTTAAAAAGTAATGAAATGAAATGTGTACATCAGTGGCACTGCACCTGGTTATACTAACAACAAATTTTACCTACAGTTTTCATAGCTATGGCATTTTACACACATTACACCTTTGCAGTAGTTTGGATTTCTAATCAGGCTTTTAAGTGTATATTTTAAAATTCAGTTTAGGTAATATTCAATGTGGTATGAGGAGCCACTAAAGCCATGTGTACGAACAGCTTCAGCACCCCCCTGTATGCCATGAATAGGGTCTACACTTCCTAAGCCAGTGTGTAGGAAGACAATGAGGACAGAGGAGCTATGGGATCTGCAATCATGTAACTCCAGTGGGGCCAGGACACACTATACAGGCAGGTGGCATGGATGAGCAGCTGCAGCAACTACTATCCCAGCCCATAAGGAGGTGTATTGTCTCAGAGTGCTGTGTTGCAACCTTCTGGCCCTGTTCTGGGAACTGAATTTCAGACTTCAGGCCCACACTCCCCTCTTGCACATCTTTGACACATAGGTCAATTACTCTAACTTCCAGTAGATTAAATGGATTTAATCATTTTTGTGTTTGGGGCTATTAGAACTTTCAATGTTTGCATTTCCAGTATTTAAAATGTACAACTTTCAAATATTCAGCCCTAGACTTCAAACTCAAGGGGTTTTGCATATAATTTGTCATTACAATCATACCTCAAAGTTGCATTTTTTTGGTCTAATTTCTAATCTTTCTGTTTCCTCTACCTTATTCTTCCAAATTGAGCTTGAGGGCAACCTAAAAGAAAGCCTGTCTGTTGACTTAGATAGAATAGATCTAACTAACCAAAATCTGTTTCTGAATGTAAAACAAGAAAATGTCTTTACATTTCTGCATGTGTTTAGGTATATTGCAATGGCTACCATGGTGATACTTCTGAAACATTTTTGGTGGGCAATGTGGATAAATCTGGTCAAAAGTTAGTGGAGGTTGCCAGGAAATGTAGAGATGAAGCAATTGCAGCTTGCAAACCTGGGGCTCCCTTCTCTGTAATTGGAAACACAATCAGGTAAGCCTTATACTGACAAGTAAAGGGAAGGCTGGCAAGTGGGACAAAGGTTATTGGTGGTTTGGTATAAAGCTGATGACATGTTTTATGATTCAGAACCATCATTTCAGTCTGATATCAGTATGTGAACTGCCAGGCTATAATGTTGTTCCTTGGGTAAGAAAGATTTTTAAAAGTGAATTACACTGAGGTCAGCAAAGATACCTGTAGGAAGACTCAAAGATATTTATTAGACTGATGTGGTTTTAGATTAACAAGTGTGATTTTGTAGTGTTTTCCATCAACTTTTTCTATTATTTTTACCTAAAACACCACATCTTGAATAGAATCACATTAAGAAGATTAAAAACCAGCATTCTTTTTGTTATATAGCAAATAATGTTAAAAAGGAATTAGTCAATGTCAGTAAGTCACTTCGCTAAAAAAGTATAAAAATATTTAACTCAGGAAATTCTTACCTTTCAAAGCAGAGTGCATACAAATGTCAAAAAGGAAAGAGCATACACTTGAAGAGATTTTCCTATTTTGCATTTGTTCTTTTATATAAATACAATATTTTGTTCTTCTTGGTTTGATAAAATATGCCTTCCTTTCCTAAATTTCTTAAATTGAGTTTTTACATTTTTTTTAAATAGACACATCATATATCTTTTCCTTAACGGGTTCCTCACTAGTACATTTGTGGATATTAATGGATATGACAAACTATTGCATGCATTCTGATTGCTTAAAAGCTGCAAAGCTTAGTCACTTTGAAAAGATGCTGCCTTTTTTTTTCTTTGTAAATCTTCAAATACTTTAAGAGGGGGGAAAAAGAGAGCAGCAAAATACCAGTTAGATGTATTTATAGCTTTAAAAATATTGTAACAGAGTCTGAATCAAACTTTAGTAAAACCTCTTTGGGTTATATCTGAGAAGCTTTTATTGAAGACTTTGTACAAAATTGTGTTTTTGACAGTTTTAAATTATAGGCTAACTAGCCTGGGGAAAAAGCATAGTGTCTTTCTGTTCTTTCATAGGAAATGTTGAATCAGACCCCTACTGGGAAAAGAAATTTAATGCATATCTCACTATCTTACTGTCCATGAATATAATAGAAGTGAATTCAAAATGTAGTTTTATTTTTGCAAATGGGATGAGTCGATAGAGGCACCTCATATTTTTGAACACCTAGGGTTCAACAGATTTACTGGTGGTGCTCTTGCATTTTAACAAAATTTATTCTTGAGTAGAAGGGGGCACAGAACACTAGATTTTTATTCAAGCATTCTATCGAGCTCTGCATTCATGGCTGTGTCTAAAGGGCATGTCAGCCTTTGATTCTCTCTGAGAGGTAATTATCCTTTTCCTGTCACGGAACAACAAATGATAGCTAACTACAGAGGCACATTTGCAGTAGTCACATTCATCAACTGCAGAAAAAAATTCAATTTAATTGTGCAACACAGCTGCACATAGGCTTTTTGAGCATTTCTGTTGTTCTCACTGTCTTGCTATTCCTCCCTCCAGATCTATTTTTTAAACTTTTTTTTTTCTGGTTATTTTTTCCCTCTTTTTGTCTCTTCTTCCATTTTTACTCTCTGTACTTTCTTGTTAAAGTAATTTTCCTTTGTGGCTCTCATTCTTTTTTCCCCATTGAAGGCTATGAATGTAGAAAATTATCACAATTACTCATATAATTGAGCCTCTTTGTAGCAAGTGCAACTCCAGTAGCCTTTCTCCATCATGAAAATGGTTTCATTATAGGGTTTTTCATATTCTCTGACACCATCTACACAGAGGAACAGGCGTGCAGATGAGATGTACTAGGAACAGGGTAGATCAGTAAGGTCACAGTAGGAATAATTAGCTCTGCTATGGAAAGAGCATCTAGGCCTTTTACTGCTACATAAATGTACTGTCCGTGGCTTTTAGTCACAAAAAAACTTACTAACAAATGGAGCTCCCGCCTACTACTTTGAAAAAAAGATTTGTATCAACACTACAATTTTCCATCATTAAGACTAATAACACAGAGCCTAGTATACATCAAGGGGAATAAAAAGAAAAATCTCACATTCAAGTGGCGGCTGGGTGCTGACCTTTGTTCCCTTTTTTTGTGTTCAACTTAACTCTTCACAAAAAAGAGCCACACGCCACACCAACATGCAGGTGAACTCCAGCTAGTGCTAGCAAAGCATGGCATTCAGTTGGAAAATCTGATAAATCTCCATGCAAGATAATGCATTTCATTACAGATTCACTACATTAATTCTAGCTATATTAAAAAAAAAAAGACCAAAATTGAAAGTGACATTGGATTTTTTTGCTATGTGGATGCAGAGGTCAGTTTTCTCACAGAGTGTAAATATGTATGCAAAGGCTCCATTGAAAAGCAAATTAATCAGAACTAGTGCTTGTTGAAAACTACATACAAAATAACAGATCATGAACTTTTTAAAAAGATTTTACTGTACAGACTACTGGGCTATTTTGTTTAAAACTACTCTAACACTAACTCTGAGGGAATGTGCTGAAGTGTTGACTCATCCTATTTCAGTATTTGACATTTTACATTTACATATGCAGTAAAAATCTTAAGTCAGTGGAAAACATATACAGTATATACTATAAATATCTGGAAGAAAACACAAACTAAAAGTGTTCAGATCTATCAAAATAGAGAAGTGTCTAGACACTCTTCATCCAAACTTTTGCTATAAAGCAGATTTTGATAACATATTTTTATACAGTACCAGAAATAAGAAGACACTATGATTATTTGTGATGCATGTGGGTGTAATTACATTATCAGAATGGATGTGCATACTTTGTTACAGTGGTTCAGAAGTCCTGTGTTTTAAATTGAGTATTTAGTAGCTCTTCAGTGTCATCAGCTGAAATTTACAATAAAAACATTACATGAATGGATTAATTTCCTTTGCCTAGCAAATTGCTAATCCTGTGCTCAGTTTCCAGTTGAATTGATGGCAAAGGTCCCATTGACTTCAGAGGGAGCAGGATTGGGCCCCCCGTTCTATTTTCGTATACCCTTTGTAATGCCTTTCTTAAAGATTAAATGTAGTTTGAATTATAGTTTTTATACATGTATACAGCATAGTTGTTATATGGTGAGTTTAGATATATGAAAGTCTTGTAGATATAGAGCCAAACAATGTAAATGTGCTACAGTTAAATAAACCAATTTCAAACTTGTAGGAAAAAAATTGCAGTGATGAAAGTATTAATAAATGTTTTAAAATGTTTAACTCATAAATATATGTTTTGATATTAATTTAGAACAATATAAAGCAGATTTTTTTTAAAAAAATCTGTTTCTATCAGATTATGCACATTTAAACAATAAGTGGCTCAGGCAAAATAAGTCATTTTAATGTCATCTGTGATAGATTTTCCTTGACAGCTACTGTAAATTACAATTACACTGCTTCTCTCTACACTTGAAAGTAAGCATTGCAATAAATTATCTTTTATTTCAATCCATCATGTCTGCTTTTCAGAAACAGAGAACCTCAAATAAAAGTTCAACACTATTGTAAGAAAAATACAGTAATTTGTGTTCCAGTTTGAAACCAAAATGTACCATTCTTTCAAAAAACAATTGTCGGCTTTCAAAAATATTACTAATTATACTTCAACATTTGTTGTCATTAAAGGGAATCCCTGAATTTGTGCATTCCCTCAATCTAAGACTAATATTTAAGAAAAAAATACCTTTAAAAGCTTGCAGTTGGGATTTTTTTTTTGGTAATTTACCAAATAAGGTTATATTGTAGCATTCAAAATAATTTTTTTCTTCATCAGCAAATATTATTTAAACTAGTGATACCTCTAAGAACATATACAAATAATGTCATTCAATAAGCATAGTTTACAGCTAATATTGTAAAGACATTTTTAAGGTGTACTTATATGCTTTTATATTATTCCCTAAGCAAGAATTATTTTATTCTTGTCCCTGGTTGCAGAGAATTTTAGTCTTTTGTTGTTGTTGTTGTTGCTCTTTTAACACCATTTCAGTTAAGTTTTAATTTTTTTTTCAAGGAAACTAGAATTTACAGTTAGATTCACCAATACGCTCCAACTGCTTTACGCAGCAATCTTAACCTGCCTTAACTGGCTAGTTGCAGCTGCTTTGTGTCACCAGAGTGCAGAGTAAAGCAGCTAGAGTATACCACTATAAATGCTTACAATAGGATTTGTTCAGTTGTGTTTGGTGATTGCTTGGAGCATTGGGCAAGATCTGGCCTCCTGTGGAAGAATCTTCAAGAGGGTAAAAGAAACTGCCACATTCTCCCCATTTTGGCCAGGGATGGGATTTGCAGTCCCATAATAATGAGTGGATGGGTTATCCTGCCAAACTCATAGATCCCGCTTGATCACCCAGGACATTAAGGGATCTGCTAGAGGCACAGGACCAGCTGTATGAGGGATCTGTGCCATCACATTGTCATTGGAATCCCTGAGCCTGTTCTGAAGCTTCCTGATAGGGGGGGCTCTCTAGGACTTCTCAGCCACCTCTGTCGGTAGACCTTTTGAGGGAGGTTCAACAACATCGAGAGAGCACTGTGGAGAATCCTGCCCTTTCTCTAGTTGCATATAACTTTTCTGTGGGTTATTTAGAGGGTTTGTGGTGGGGTGATGTGTGCCTGTCTACTGTCCCATCCTTCTATATGCATTCCTCCACACAGACCATAGATCATGCGACTATGGGGAGATGATGCTCTCATGATGGCCGTTGTCCCACTTCTTCCCCCTTTCCCTCCCCCACTCACAGGAAGAGTGATATCTGAGGACAGACGGTTACCATGTAGGCCTCTTAGAGGGAGGATCTGGCCCATAATGAGCAGTCCTGATTTCTGCTTACAATTCTGCCACTGATTGGTTGTGTGACCTTGCTTTAAATATTGAACCTCTCTTTGCCATCTGTAAAACAGGTATAATAGCCAGGGCCATGTTCACTCTGCAGCACACTGAGATAACATTCAGTGGCAACCACAAGACTAAAGTCTGCTGCACTGTTCAATTACTGTGTTGTCACTCTTGTCCTTCCCACTTCCAAACACAGCTATGGCTCAGAGCTGAAAATACTCACCAAAGTAAAATGTATCAATGGGCATTTTCAACTGGAATTATTTTGAGCACCGGAGGGTTTTTTTTTCCCTGTGTTCTCCAGCCCTCAATTCCTGGCATGTTATCCTGATGGCCAGACTTGGGACCTTTTTCCCAAATGTGCCCCAAGAGAAGGGAGAACTTGTACAGTTCATCTCCTTGGTTAACCAGGGTCTCAGCTCCAGCACAGTTGTTTCAGGCAGCCTTGCTCTGACTGTTCAGCTACCTTTACTCCCTGGCTACGTCTAGACTGGCATGGATTTTCCGCAAATGCTTTTAACTTAAAAGTTTTCCGTTAAAAGCATTTGCGGAAAAGAGCGTCTAGATTGGCACGGATGCTTTTCCGCAAAAGTGCTTTTTGCGGAAAAGAGTCCGTGCCAATCTAGACGGGTTTTTCCGCAAAAAAGCCCCGATCACCATTTTCGCGATTGGACCCTTTTTGCGCAAAACAAATCTGAGCTGTCTACACTGGCCCTTTTGCGCAAAAGCTTTGCACAAAAGGATTTTTGCCCAAACGGGAGCAGCATAGTATTTCCGCAAGAAGCACTGATTTCAGACAGTAGGAAGTCAGTGTTCTTGCGGAAATTCAAGTGGCCAGTGTAGACAGATGGCAAGTTTCTTCCACAAAAGCACCTGCTTTTGCAGAAAAACTTACCAGTCTAGACACAGCCCCTGACTTTAAGCTGGACTTCAACTCTGGCTCCTTGTTACCAGGTGCCATGGAATGGTGGCAGAAGCTTGCACAGATGAAGAGAGAGTGAGGCTAGTGCAGGCAAATCCTGGGAAGGCAAAGAGCCAGAAAACAAAACATCAAGCCCCAGGCTGCAGCCAATGGGGAATCCCATGCCTAAAATGCTGACTCCCATGGCCTCTTGGGAAAGAATCCCAAATTCCACAGCCACAGCATCACAGAGCTCAGAGGACCCTGACTGAGATGGGCACCTCTCAGAGCAATGTTTTAAGCTCTCTGCTGACTCAGGCAGATTGCTTCAATTTACAGTCTGTTCATCTTTACAAATTTATCCATACTCTGCAGTGTTTATGGGAGAAGCAGAAAGGTCAGCTGAATACTTCAGTGCAGATGTCAAATATGTAGGAGCACAAAGATCTCCTATTTTGATCAGACTGTAATAGCGTAAGTAGTGATGCTAATAGTTTTCATTATCTTGATCAACAAAGAGGCAGAATTAATGCAATGCACAAGAACTATTTCCTTCATTGAGTGAGGTAGCAAAACTGTCTCAACCTTGTCTTCTCATTATGGCTGTGGTGCTCCTACTTTGATGCCTCAAAGCAACTGTTGCTGCTTCTAGGTTCTTAGTATTGAACAATGGCTGATTGAGTGGTGCACACTCCAGCTTTCTATGCCAAATGAGCATAATTAGTTTTGGTACTGAGAAGACATAGCTTCTAGATAAAAGAACACCCTATATTGCTATGTAGAAGGATTTTGAAAAGAAATCCAACAGCAGTTATAAGCCTGACAAAAATAGCCCTGAGGGTCTCTCAGTAAAGCTCTGTAAATCTGCAGATATTCACTTCATAGCTGTGGGTATCTGCACCCCCAGGTATAGATGTGAATACTGGAAAATCATTTTTGCAGATGTGGATACCAATTTTGTATCTGTGCAGGGTTCTGTCTATCAACCTCTTGGAGTATACACAAGACTGAATAGTGAATGGGATTGCTCTTGTACTGGCCAACATAATTTAAGAAAAATAGAGGTGTAACAAAAACTTGCCAAATGTTACATGAATGAGATTCCACTCTTCCCTTCCCCTCCTCTAGGATGATTAAGAACATTTTATACTTACATGAAGTGTTGTTTGTGTTGTACTAGTTCTGGTTTCTAAGACTCACACCAGTTCATGTTTTGTTCTTTATAAGTTAGTGAATAAACTGTAATTTTCTAATTCATTTCCACATCCATTGCTTCCTCCTTGGCCTTTACTGCCATATCTGATATGCATGCCATGGGGCTTTTCCATCTCTAACTTACATTGTTTTTTAAATGTTGTTTAAATTGTGTACTGCATGGGATAATGGAACCCCAAGCCTTGCACCATTACTAGCAGTTTTTGCCAATAATTAGAAGAGCTTTCAATAAGTTGGGAATATCTTATTGATACTGAGGATCTTGTGCCCCTCCAAAATCAAATGATGTACTATCAGACATGCTTGTTAGCCTGGAAGGCAGATATTAGCTAACAATGAACTGGTTCAAGCATCCATTTTGGACCAGTGTTTTGTAACATTATTAACCACCTGCTAATTAATCTGATTATTGATTAACAGTATGGATTGATTTTTCCAGACTGTTAATACTGTTTTTACAGCATCATTATACACAATAGTGTGAATACCTTAGTAGGAAAGCATTTAGCAGTGTGTTTAAGTACTTACCTTTTAAACTGACAGACACAACCAAGTCCACTGCATTTGAAACCAACAAATGCAACTTTTCAGTCTTCTAGGTGAAATCTTTTCAAGTGTAACTAATCCTGTAATCCTTACAGTGCTTGTTTGGTTTTAGAAATTAGGTGGAAGTGATATGGTTGAGCACAGCTTCCATCATGTCCCATCTCTCTTTAATAAGACTAGCAAATCTAGCATAAGGATGGGACAGGCAATAATTTTGACGTTCCTAGTAACTCATGCTGGTAATTGTAAAGACTCTTCTTGAGTTTCTGATTTCAGTCTGTAATGCTTTGAAATCATGGCTAAGTGAGCCACTCCTTTCTCTGCAAACAGCCGTGAGCAGAGGGACTGTTGTAGCCTTAGGCTGAAACCCTTGGGCTGAGGATAGGGCATTGCAGAGGAAAGGCCCAGAGCTATAGCACCGCCTGCCTCCGGAGAGTAGGTTCATCCCACCAGCTCTCGGATACAATGTACAACTTCTCCCGGGCCTTCCGTTAAGCAGCTAGGGTGAGAGCAGGAAAGCCTCGTCCAAGCCTGCAGCAGGAGGCGCCAAGGAGAGGCGCTGGCCACCCGGCCTGTTTCCGCTCTTGCTGGGGGGGGGATGCTGCTTAGGGACTGTGAACACGTCAGCAACCAGCGAGCTCGGCCCCCTTGGCCTGGCTTCGCTGCGCGTGTAACTGCGTAGGCCCCGCATGTCACCGGCTCTTTTTGCCAAACTGCCCCCGCGCGTAGAGTCCAACCCGAGCCCAGGGCCTTTCCCCCGATCTGCGGCAGGCTCCATGTACCCCAAACGCAGCGTCCCGAGCGCTCACGCGCCAGGGAACCCTCTGGAATTCAAAGTGCGCGCGCAGAGAGCTGGCGGGGGGAGGACCCACTAGCCCTGAGCGCCCTCGCTCCGCCGCCTGCTGCGATAAGGCCGCTGAAGCCGAACGAGGGCAGCTGCACTGGCGACGCGGGGCCCTGTTGCGTTCCCGCGCTGACCGGCTACTTCCCCATTGTGGGCGGAGCTTGGAATTGTGGGCGGAGCTTAAGTGCTCCAGCTTTTCTGGCTTGATCTTTGCCCTCCCGCATTCGGGACGGAGTGAGGAGCGTCCGCCAAGGGTGTGGCTGTGTCACCGCAAAGAGTTTATGGCCAGCCACACGCGGGCCTCAGTATTGATTGTGGACGCGCCTGGAGTTAATCAGCCTCGTGTTACTGCTACAGGCGAGGGCTAATGCCTTAGTGAGCGTTGCACTCTCCTAAGCGCGGGCTCGGGGCGGGTCTGTCTGACGGCTACTGATGTCTACTGCTTTGTCTCTCTTTTGTCTTATGTTGTTGTTGCTGCCTCCTAAAGCCGCCTAGCACATCAGCATGATTTCCGAGTCTGCCCCTACTTTGTTGGGCATGGAATAGGATCTTACTTCCATGGACACCCTGAAGTTTGGCATCATGGTAAGAAGGCCCATTGTGAAACCTGTGCAGGAGTCTGGCTGAAGAATTTTAATGAAACGCAACCCAGCTGCAAAACCGGACCCCGCCCCCCCCCCTTCCTCGGGGCCGTTGCAATCTACCAGTCCTGAGACAGCAGCATCTCTTTCCCCCTTCCTCCACCCGTGGATACACGGACACCCCCACTTTCCACCAACCCACCCACTCGATTTATTAGTTATTTGACAAGATTGCTGCGGGATTCCCAGGCTGGCGCGTTTGGAAAACTCTGGGATTGCTTATGTGGGAGAAAAGTTTAAAGTAATAAAAACAAAACTTCGCAGCGTTAATAGCCCAGCAGGCTCTGGGACTGTTTTCTGTTTGCCTTTCTCTTGCCTCTTCTCAGCCCGCTGACTGTTACTGCTAAGCTTCATTACGCTCTCCCAGTGCTTACA